CAGGAGCCCCTAGTAGCGTCCTTGCTCCTAGTAGCGATGCCAGGAGCGCCTAGTAGTAACAAGGCAGATTCTGATTCATTCGCATACTTTTGGATGATGAAGAGCCATCACCACAGGTGAGAGTTCGCATGATTCATCCAGTTTGAGTTTAGCCACGTTTTTTCCATTTTTTCCCTGTGGCACCACCTCTCAAACAATGCCGAGCCGGTTTCGCTTTTGGGTCGTGGGTCGAGCCGAACGAGGACCACGATGAGTCCGTTCAGGGAGGACCATGGGTTCGTAGGACCCGTCTTGACGGCGTGCCGCGGCTGGCCTTCTTGCCGGCGTATCGCCCCTGATGGCATGGCATGGAAAGAAGGGATGGCATGGCATGACTGCATGGAGGCTCCCACCGGCTTCAACTTGACATGTCAAATGAGGGAACACTTCAAGGATCTGCAAAATAATGCAAAACTTACCAACGCCAGCAGAAACCAAATCAACAAGAGCCTTTCCCAAGTCAACCATGTTCCGAACAACGCCCATTCTACAAAGCCAACCTGGGGCTGCTGCAAACGCATATGATTTGATACACTACCTTCAGAAAACTTGTTGCTCCGTTCCCTCTCAGAAAGATATCGACCTGTTGTCGAAGCACTTGCCCAAACAAACCAAATCAAAGCCGAAGACCCTGGACTCCTAGACATCCCTCGACCGCCTCGACCCCCAACGCCTGCAGCATGACCACAATCCGACCAGCCTTTAGGAACTTGCCTCAGTCACTCACATCGCACACCATCACATAGTGACCAAGCTCCTACCACTGCCTCACTGTTGCATCCCTCACTACGTGCCTCATAGAAGAGAGATGAAGAGAGCACAAACTGAAACCATCTACAACAGGTTCACAAAGGGATATCCAGTCAAGACAAGACCACGCTCTGACTCTGTGTTTTGGCAAAAGTCCCTTTAGAGAAGACAAAACATCATCCGCACCAGTGCCAACTAGGGAACACTGGTTGTCGAAGGGGCACATCCCGGATACACCCCGGATGTACTTCAACAAGCACTCTACAAACCAGCGGAGTGCCATTGTCATGTGACATGGTGTTCGACCTTCGTTGATTCTTCGTTCGACGCTTTCGGGGTTGGTGGGCTGATCGCGTCGTTCAGCAGCTGATCGCGCTGATCGTCACCCTGATGCGAAACAAGTCACCCATCGTCGCTGCGATCGGCGCGGCGCCCTACGGAAAGGTGTCCCCCGAGTGGCTGAGCCTTGAGCCGAGCCTTGCGGTTCCGACGCCTTCCGCCCATGAGCTCGAACAGAGGTTTCCCCGCTGAGTTTGATCAAAAACATGAGACATCCTATGAATTTCTATGGTTGCTATGCAACTCCTGGAGGCTCTCCTGGAGTTATTTCTTCTGCCAATTTCGTCTGGCCTGAATCTAGCTCCAAACTGTAACAGAGCACCATTGCGACTGGTGGGTGCCAACATGAACAGCATGAACTTCTTCCTCACTCAGCTCAGCCTCTAGAAAACGATTGAATTCATCACCCCGTCTGTTCTCTCGTCTGTTCTCTCGTCGTTCTTGTCGCCCGTCTGTCGCTGTCAGTTGCCTTGGCTTCGACGTCTTTCGGACCATCGGACGAACGACGGACGGAGAGACCGAGCGACCCAAAGAAACCGAAGCCTTTCCGAAATGGATCTCCGTAGCACCGGAAAGCGACCAGAATGAATTCTGTCTGAACATTTCATCTGGCGGGTGCCATTTCGCTTGGTTGATCCAAACAGTCCTCACTCTGGATTCTTGGGCGTCAGTCCTCGTCTCATTGATACAGCTTCAGGCCTTTCTGCCAGGTCACGTTTTCTCTTCGTGGGGACCTAGAGCGGAGGAGCGGAGCATCTCTCAGGAACATGCTTGAAGGTAGCCTACTGGTACAAAGAGGAATCAATAGAGGCCTCAAAGAATAGACCGTGACCAGACAGAACAACAACCGGATTCATACGGAAGATACCTGTTCTGTGAGATCGTTGAACTGGCAGATTGGCTGGCACAGTGCAGTCCCCCTGCTCATCTGTTTGTCTTTGGCTTCAGCACAAGGCCTCGCCCCGCTTCCGTGGGACAGTGAGTGGATGGCTGGCTGTTCCTTGAACCTGTCACTTCGGGCCAGGTAGTCCATGTCGCTTAATGATGCGTCCTACAACCGCATTGTTCCCAACCAGTTTGGCAGCGGCCGGCTGCTAATGTGAAGCTGTGTGGACTTGTGCATGGTGGAACATGCAGTGCCCAACCATTCGAAACACGGAACACGGACATGGATCACATCTGAGCACAAGTGTTTCCTTCCCTGCTTTGATCAATTTGGGTTGAAGTTCGACCCCCCTTCCCCATCATAGTCAGATCACGGGTCATAGAAACGTGCTGACTCAACGCGGTTTCCGCGCGGGTTTCCGAACCCCGCGCCGGCCACGCGCGCGGTTTCCGCGGAGACCGTCTCGGAGCCCGGGCAGAGCAAAAGTCCAAGCCCTCCTGCCTCGACCGAAAGCCGACTCGGTTGGTCGAGGGTCGCAAAGAATCGGTCGTTCCACCGATCTGGTTTTCGTCGATCCGTGGGGAAAAGCCAATTCCCCAAGGTTACGGTTACAGGTTTTTCCACTGATTGGGTAGGCCTCCTTTTCCTACTTTTACTGTGGGAAGCATGAGTGTCACATGTGGCCCGGGAAAAAGCCTCCAGGTTGAGACCTTCAACGGCGCTATGCGGCCAGGCATTGCACATATTGGCCTAGCAGGTGGCCTAGGTGGCTAGGTGGCCTAGCCATTTTTCATGTATCAAGTATCTTGAAACCACTCGCCCTAAATATATACATCATTCGCACAAAAATGCAAAAGCACTCTGTCTGTGAGGCACACTTCCGGGAGCTGCCAGGAAAGTTGCACAATGTGAGGCAGCTTGCCCCGCAATCAGCATGCATCCAACGACGGCAGCACTGGCTCAAACTTCCAGGGCCCCGAGATGAAACATGTGCTGGCATGAGCCATGTCCTCTAGGATCGTCCTTCCCCTTGCCAAACACGAATGGTCTGCAACTAGACCCAAAAAGACCCTTCCGGTGAATGTGTGCTTCCAGCGCTGTCATCCAGTTCAGCTTGGTTCTGTTCCAAGCGCCAAGATGCATTTCCCACAGGTGCATGGCCACGAGCTCTTGGCTCAGCGACTCGTGCCTGCAGGACTTCCAAGTTCCGGTCAGGGAGTTTCTCGGTTGTTTCACGCAGAAGGACAAATTTATGAAGAAAAGGGCTATATATATATATTATATATAAAGATGGCTATATAAAGGTCAAAAAGAAAACAAGAAGAAACAAAGCAACATTGTTACAATGAAAGGCATGACATAAATCACAGAAGAACAATGTAAGAGATAAACAAAATTAAGACATACATGGGGCAACTCGAGGGGCATGAAGGCCGCCGTTCTTGGATCCTTAAGCCTTAGTGACATTATTGGCCATGTCACCAAAGGTAGTAGGGCAGCAGGAATTGGTCTCGCTGAATGTCATGCGACCTGAAAGGCTGCGCTGCTGATGAGAAAACAACATACCCACCACCCATCATAAGCCACCACAAGGGCTAGCCCGATGCTCAAAGGCAGATGTTTTCAGCAATGTTCTCATAAGAATCATCATGAACCCCTCTTTCAGGCCATCCGGCGTTCACACATCCAAAGCCATCAGATCAAGGGCACGGCTGGAGGCCACATGCAGTGCATGCAGCACTGCTGCTGCTACCTGGCTTTAGCTGCCTCAAAAATCCCTGTCAATATTCTCACTTAGGGGAAGGTTCCCGATTCGGAAAGGTTCGACATGGGAAGCTTTCACGAGGGCCTACATCATGCTACATCCGTCCGTCGTCATTCTTCTTGGACGTTCTTTTTGGCCCAGCGGCATCTTGTAGGTCTTTTCGAAGGCCGTCTTCACAGCTTGGGCCCTCTTGTGCTTGAGATTTCTTGCCTCGAGGCACCATTCCATAGAGGAGGCACCGCCCGAACCCCAGGTCCAACGCATCAACAACTAGGGGAGGGCTTTCGTGTGCAGCTTCAGCTAGTGGGCCCAAGTATCCTGTAAACCCCCAACATTAAGAAAGACCTTGGCAAGAGCTACATCACGCTGCATTCCAGTTTGACCCACTCATTGGTTTGAGGATCATGCTCAACACCCGTCATCTGCAACAACGGAATTTGGACCAAGGGGCGATGATGCAACTCTCATAGTAGTGAGGCCTCGGGCATGCCATGGTCACATGCAAAAGGATGTAGAAACATGTCCAACTGTCTAGGACTGAACAAGTGGGAACCCCTTTGGTGGCCATAGTTTGCCTTGGGATGCATGCCTTGCTTTGGCCGGTTTCTCGTACTTTCGTAGTTGAAGAAGGCCCCGCGCCTCGCAGCACTCAGGTTTCACGTGCTCCGAGACGCAATCGTCTGGTAAGAAGAAACGATACTTTATAAGGTCAAAAAAACGGTTAACGTATGCGCATGTGAAAGCCCGCCTTGCTTTGCAGGGCTCCGACTTGACCACTCCGGTGATCCCAAGGGAAACAGACCAAGCAGACTCCCAAGTCAGACATCATGTGACCAGTGAAGGTGACCTACCTGAACGTGATGCCCATTCAACATCAGAACCGTTGGACACGGGCATTCGGACGAATGCAGCTGATTGATGCTTGGACACTTGCTCAGATGCCTCCAAACAACGGAAGTCCCAAACCCTGGCGCTAGTGAGTCTCTTGCAAAGCTCTGGACAATGCAGCTAGGCCCGGCCAAGGGGGTTGCCCGACCCTCATTTGCTTCAACCGAACTGACCCAGACCTGAAGCGCCGCCACTCGCCAAGCAAAGACACGGTCTGAAGGGCCTCTGGCCATCGTGCATAGAAGTCATGAGCTCCTGATGCTTCGCCGATTCTGCTGGATGTAGCTTTTGGATGGTTACCGGGATCTGCAAATTCACACTTGAAAAATCAGCTTCCCCATGAATATTACATAATATTATTCTCTGAAGATCTCTGAATCTCTAACTTGGGACCTCCCCAAATTGCTCCAATACTTCTTCCGCTCCCAAGTTCGGTGTCGCGCCATTTCTCCAAAAAAGACCTGCTCGGTGAGACAGCGGTTCGTGACTTCTCTCTCGGCTCAGCGCTGGATGAACTGCATCGAGCTAATCGCGCCCAAGAAGAAGACGGTGGGGATCACGAGGGCGTGGACCGCCAACCAACGGAAGGTGAAGATGGGATAAGCCACCTGAGATGAGGACAGAACTGTTGAGATACAGTGAGGCCCTTAGGGCTATATAAGGTGCGCTTGCACATTGCTCAAAGCTCTGCAGAAAGGAAGGCAAGGAAGACCCTACGAATAATGGAAGTTAAATGTCTGACACAATCACCAGACGAAAATAGAGCTTCCAAAAGTTCTTCAATATGACTCCAAGGCCACTGGGGTCCTGGCCATCTCCGCGGCCCTCACTGTGCTGCTTCTTCGGGCTGCAGCGCTCACGGCAGCAGCGGCGTAGCCCAAGCTGACGCCGAAGCAGATGGAGCTACCGACAGTGGCCTCCATCGTGGAGTCACTCGCAGAAGCGCCCTGCACTGGCACCGCCTTCTGGGGCTGTGCCGCATGCGTGCTGGGTGCCACGAAGGCAACCGCGCCCGTGAAGAGAGCGAAGAAGAGGACTCGCAACATGATGGGAAAAAAGGTCTGTGCGAGAAACGCACCCCAAGATGTGCTCGAGCCGAAAGAACCTACAGGTCTGGCCGTCACTTCTAGGAAAAACAGAGTGAATTGAGATTTTCAAGCAGGCAAATTGTTCAACCAAAGCAGTGTTTCCAGCATCATCGTGATGAAACACTATACGAGTCCATCATATAGTCCAAGACGCAACGTGTGTTCATCACTGCACCAGCAGACCGTCCTTCCACTGCTGCACGTTGCGCCGCGACGAGCTCACGTACTCCGGTCCTCGAGAAGATCGCCGGAAGCCAACGAAAGATGGATGAATCAAGGGAAAAGAAGGGAAACACCATGTAAGTAATATAGGTAGAGGTATACCAAAGGGATGAAGGGATGTGTGAACTTCATCCAGGGATGAGGTATAGAAGGGTCAAACAAGGGTCGCAGGGTCGCTGGCTCGGCGCCGCAGCCCTCGGCAACAGGTGAGGTTGACATGCTATGACCGTTCACTTCTTTGGCCGGTGCAGCTGGTGGGCCTAATGAAAGAATCAGCGAGCGAATTGACAGAGACCTCCCAAAGAATCCCTGGAAGAAGGTGAAGTAGACCAAAACCCATGAGGCCACGGGGGGTCCCCCTTTTGAAAAACACCTTTTTCAGGACACGCACACCCATATGGGGGCCATTTCCACTGCCATTCCGTTCGATCGATCGGACTTCCGAGTAGAAAAAAACAAACCTGCGAAAAACGTTGATTGGACCTACCAGGTACCTACCAGACCTATGTGTTTACTGTTTTTGTGTTTACTTCATGTTTTACTTAGTTGCAATCAAGGCACTTTTGGTCAACATGTCATCCATCTCCCACAGCATGCCTCATGTTGGCCGGGCTGAGACCCTGCCGCCATCATGTGAAGCCAAAAGGCTTGGATCACCACTCTACGGAGGAGTGACGTGTCGGCACACCCAATGAGTGCTTGTGCTGCTCAGCTGAAGCGGCAGAGAGACGTCTAGAAGCTGAAGCCGCACAGCAAAGCAGTACAGGTACAAGCAGGAACGGAGTGGCTTTGCTGCTCAGCGGCATTTGAAGGCATCTGCATTGCAGTCTCGCCAATACCATTTGAGCATTAACAATGGCCTCGACGCGGCAAGAAACGTCCATGAAAATTGTGGAGACTCTCTGGCCTTCGAACCTCAAGATTTTGGGCGGCGGCTGCCAAATCGGGCCCCCAAATCATCCGGCTAAAAAACCATTCATGGGGAACCGTGCACTTGGAGTCACGCGAAACCCAAATCAATAAAATAATATATAAAATACATTAAAACACCCCGCGTCTGGGTCACAATTTGCCCAAATAGGTGCCCCAATGGTTCTTCAATGCCTCGGTGGCTAGAAAAGCACCAAAAAACAAAAGATCTCGATTCCAGATAGGCACAACCGCCGTGAAAAGCCGTGAAAAAGAAAAACGCCAAAGCACTTGTCTTGGTGATCTTGGAGAAACTGTGGCAACTTGTCCAGATTGATCGTCATGTCGTGATCCTTGCTCGAGGCGGTATGAGGGGATCAGGCGAGGTGAAGATGGCGATCATGTAGACGCTTGATGATCGTTCACCCCCTCCGAGCCTCAAGAGGTCTCACAACGTCTGTGCCAGGCTCCGCTACAAGTTTTGGGGTGGACCAGCGACAGAAAATCTGATAGGTGTTGCTTTTGGTATGAGCATCGTGCTTCTCTGAAAGCCGCAAGCGATGGCATTGAACTATATATGTAATTCTAAAGCAAGGACTGGACTGGTTTAAACGGAATACTGTACATGACCTACAAGCTGTGGTGCTTTGCTTTGACCCTGCCAAAGCTTGGGCCCAGCTGAGTCTCATATCCAATCAGCCAGTCATATCTCCTCAGGCGCACATGGAAACCCCTACAGCACCCACACATCAGCAAGAAAATGCAAGAAATCTGCACAAAAGCCGCCCCAATCCATATCGCGAATGCTGTTGAGAATCTATCTAAAGCCGGTCAAAACAAGTCTCTGCAGGACCAAGTCTCTGCATCCATCGAGGAGGAGTGAACTTCAAGAACTTGGAAGTTAATCTCTCCTTGGGGACGACGTGAGCAGTGTATTGTATGCTGCGAATATGCCATCTAAGCGGCATACGGCATACATTAGACTAATTTCTTATAATTTCTTAGGAAAAACATGGGTGCGAACACAGTTCCATCATTGCATGCGGAGCCAAAACATGAAAACGATTGAAAACTTATCTTTGTGGTGTGGATCTGTTGATGACAAGGAAAGTGGTCAATTGCCCTCCTCAAAGTTTGTTGCAGCCAAACAAACTCATCATCTCGTTGGCGGGCTGTTGAGAGTGACCCTCCTTCTGAAAGCTCGAAAGCTCCCAATATCAGAGACAGCTCGGCATCATAGTGCAACCAGGAATCTGCAGAGACCTCAACGGCGCTCGCAATTTTGGAGCGGAGCTTGAGCTCTCTGCGGGTGATTAGAGGCGAGCTGTGCAGGGTCTACGCCAAAACATCCTCCGCAACAATCACCAAACACACCCTCTGTAAGGTATGGGCCAAGAATAATTGCAGTCAAGTGTTGCCATGTGAGATCCAAGGCAAACAATACTTTTCAACGGCTGTTCTACATGTTCATCTCGGTTCTGGTCTGATCAGCTTTTTGATTGGGAATGTTATAATAACTTACTATAACACCTCTGAAGGTTTGAGCGAGGGACATAGCGGGTACCTTTCTGCAAGGCCACTCGCTTGATGTGCCAGCCCTGATGCTTCCAATGCGCCAGCGCAGCCTGCGGAGTGACTTCAAATGAGTGCGCTTCTACCTGTAGAATGATTCTGCAGGAAATGGAAAATGGAAATCAACTACAGTCCCTACAGTACTCGGTACTCAGGCATGACTGGGCTTTCGATTTTACGCAATTACATTCCTCCATGTAAAGGCCAGGCCAAGGCCCACACAGAGATGACATACGTACATGTTCTTGGGCCGTGGAGAAAGGACACCTCTCGGCTGCGCCTTGGGAGCCTTCAGCAGGGTGACATCATCCAAGAAAAGGAAAGCATCCACCTCAGTCACTGCGACCGACCACGAAACCCTGATTTGAGAGCAAAGGATGACCAGGTGGAGGATGAAGCTGTCTGGTTTCGTATATCCTCGTACCAGGTCGTGCCAAAGGTGATGGATCCTTTGATGAATTGACCCCTCTTCGACCTAAAGCTGCCCTCTTTGAGGATGCATTGAGGAAAAACCTTTTCAGCATCGAGAGCATGCCCCGTTGATGCTCAGTCCGTTGAGAATTCATCTTCTGCGAAATGCCACTTTGCTTCTGGGAGTCGTCCAGTCCATCTTCACAAGCACGGAGCCTCTAAGACCAAACGCAGATCAAGTCCTGCTTCGTGATCCAAAAGGCCTCTTCTGAATAATTGGCAGCATGATTCAGCATGCATCAGCATTGAGTCAGCATATGTTAAGACAACACCCCACAAAAGGAAAGAATTGTTTTGTGCTTGTCATTGGCCAGGGGCCGGGACAGACCTTCTCGTACGTTCGCCGAATCCCAAATTCTACAACTCGAGACTCGTCGTGCGGCCCAACCATCAGTCTGTTTTCTCCCAAAAGCCCCTCCAAATCCCAACCCTCGCATTGAGGCAAGCATCCTCTGTTGGGGCCTCAGGAGGAAAAAAGAAGCACCGCTGGATGTCTCATGGATTTCCAAGGCAAAGCATTGCGTGCGCAACCTGAACACAGCCCTGCTGAACCTTGCCTACATGCCACTTAGACCTTAGCCGCGGAAGCAGCTTCCATACGTGCGCAAACCCCGAAACCGCATGCAATACCACCGCTACGACACGGTGCCGACCGTCCAAGGAGCACATGGCACCTGAAACGCTCGCGGCTCTTCATATCCACCCAGATTGTAAGTATACACAGCGATACCTGCCAGCATTCCTGTTTTCCAATGGAAAACGCAAGATCCGAATACACCGAGAAGTCTTGCGTCTCGTTCTTTTCGTGGTGGTGTTGCGTCAAAGTTCAGGAGTATGGCACAGGGCTGCAAACAACCTGTGGAGAACCTGCTCTACGAAAAAAATAGAAAAGGACCGATGAGTACTTGTTCCTGTCCTTGATGAATGTCATGCTTCCTGTCCTTACTGTCCTTACATCATTACAACCAAAAAAGACACGTTGCTTAACAAATGGTGAGCTTTCGTACGAGGTCTTTGACACGCATCAAGGCATATCAAGGCCCTGCTGGGTGGCCCTGCAAGGCCCTGCCCCTTCCCCTCCTTCAAACAAATCAACGAACTCTTTGGGATGTATCCTGAACATGTTCATTTATCATTGTTTCCAAAGAAAAATCAACGAACTTCGGATGGGCTATCACGCTTGTCCCGCTTCGGTCTCGGAGAGGACTGGCGCACGTGCGGTGCGCGGCCGGGCTCGCTGCGGCGTGGGGCAGCGATGATTGGCCCTGAGGGGACGACAACGAACGTGTCGCGGCATCTTTCGGGAAAAGCTCAAGGGATTTCAAGGGATTCTGGCACTCAGTAGGTTGGAGGCCATCGCTGGGTTGGAGGCATGATCTCCAAGTCTATGATATATAGGTATGATTCATAGCCTATGATATTCTCAGATCTAGTTTTCATAGGTATTATTCTATGACATTCTAGCAGCTAGCAAACACTATTCTCATTTCTTCCCAGAAAGCTCATCCGCTACGCTGCTACGTCAAACAACGCCTCAGGCCACAGGGATGAACTCCTGAGCCGAGCTGTAGAAAGTCAAGCCTCAGAAACGAGGTCGCACTCCCTCCCTGTCGAACGACCGGGAAGACCACGATGTCGGTAGAGAGGTGCGAGGAAACTTACCGGGCTACCTGGAGCAAAATATAGACCCCTAAACAAACAGAAAAAATTAGAAAAAGTAGATCCCCCATAGTCAAAATGTATTGGAAAGTATGTACAAACCGTGCCAGTATCTATTTGGGGACCACTATACTATACCCATGGTTTCTCCGTGCTACAGTAGTTAGTTGCTCAAGAAGAAAAAATATGTGTGAATATTTGTGAACATTTTTTATCAAATATTCACAAATTTTGGGGCGGAAGGTTTGCCTTCTACCCTTATTTTGTCCCTACCGGAAAGAGTTTGCCCGACTACTCACGCACTTATCACTGGAAGTCCAAAGTGGGGCCCCTGAATATCAATCAAGAAAAGCCTCAAATTGGGGCCTTCCATTGACGCAACATCCACGGAGGTGTCTTCACCTTTGTGCTAGCCTTGGCGGTTTCTTTGGTCCATCCATCTACAGTATATAATATAGCTTTGGATATCCACAGGTGTGGTGCAGGGACCAAATGCTTCTTCTTGGGCGGAAAGCGCCACCGGGACACGGCCACATGTCCGAAGCATTCGCTGCAAAGGTGGCGTTCACGCTGCTCGCGTCTGTAGTCGTCGTCCTGCAGTCGAGCCCCAGACTCTAGCCATGGCTCAGTGACACTCAGTGATGCGCAATATGAAAGTCTGAAAAGACCTATCTAAAAGTTGGGAAGAACAAACGAGCATTTCGTCACCAGACTGTCTTAGAGTCTTGTCCATGTGGACTCATTCAGAGCCCCACTCATCTCGACGCATCAACGGACCTGGCCCCAGGCTTGTGGCGGGGATGCTGGGCGTGTGGCTGCGAAGAGTGAGTATCAGCTCACCATGCCGTGTGTTCTGTTGATCACATCTAATCCTGGCTCTATCTCACCATTGAACATGAAATAGAATAGATTCTCGGGTCCCCATCACATGTCTTCCGCTTTTTCCGCGGTTGCCCCATCACATAGCGCTGTCAGCCGGACGGTCCGGATCCATTACCAATGGTCCCGTCCCACCTGCCACGGCTGGCACCAAGATGAAACGCCAGAGGATACGCCATCGCCTCAGGTCCGGCAGGTCCGGCGCTGGTCCGCTGGTCACCTCCAAGGCTCGGACACCATGTGCAGCCCCTGACGAGAATGAACTGCTTGGAAGAGACCATGATCTGAGCCCCAAAAAAAGGTCCAAACGCGGATGGTCTCCATCGCTTGACCAATCGAAAAGACCTACTGTATGTAACGTGCTTCTCCATGCATCGATTTCGGTACTTGATGCCAGGTTCAATGCGTGGACAAGTCTGCAAGGCAAAAAGGATTCTCTCCTTTTGCTCGGCGCTGGCGACCTTCTTTGGCCGAGACGAGACGCAGAATCAAAGGGCACGTTTCTGCCCACGTCTTCTCTCCTGACGCTCGTGCGTTGGCGTTGGCGTCTCTCTGGGACAAATCTTTGAGAGTTGAACCTTAAGTGATATTTCGTGGCTCTGTTAAACCTGTTAATTATGTTTTCATGTCCAAGGGGCCTGATCATCCTCATTCATCTTCTGTTGCGACAATAGGTATGGACATTGCACCACATTGCCACAAAGGGGCCTTGCTCATTCGCTACTTTCTTCTCTCACATTCAATGATCTGCATTTTTCTTTGTTGGGGGTGCTCCTCGGTCTACTGCTGTCTGATTTGTTGGTTGATTCGCAACCGAATGTGTATACCCTCGAACTGTCGCTTGCTTCTTCCCGAGACCCGTCGCCAGTTCTCCTCGATTGCTTCCATGTAGGGCGCAGCGATTGGAGGGGCAACGGGTTGCAACACCTTCCAAAAGATCGAATGCGACCGTCCCTGGCCTGGGGGCATGATAAGGACACAATTGTCTAGGAATTCGGTGGTCGAATCTTGGGAACTTAGACTCTCAACAATAAGGTCGTCTGAATCAACCGTTTTCGATTTCATCTTCTTGGGTCTTTGCTTGGTGTCGACTGGCCACCGGGTAGTTCGTGTCCTCAGTCGTCCGGAAAAAGAGGGTCAACTACGGTCAACTACTGCTCTACTTAGAAATAAAGAGTAGACTAAGTGTATATATATATATTACAGTATGTAATATATATGTGTGTGTATGTGTGTGATACTACTTCGGCTCAACTACTTCTAATTATTTTAACTCCTTCAACTACAGTAGTTACCATACTACACCTAACCTTCTTGCGCATAAATTTCAGCCTATTATGGGTAAAAGGTGCCCTTTTCAGAGCTGCGGCGTTCTTGTTCCCAGTAGGATCCTGTAGACGTTCTTGCCGTCTTCGGATGTCTTCGGGGAAATGCTCAAATAGATAAGGATCCACCCACTGCTGGTTCCAGGAACTCCCCTTGTCGTGATGATTACCCTAAAAAACCAGAAACGACGCAGGCACATTGTGCTTATGAGGATTTCACGACTAATGCTTCACCTTTGCATCTGTCTGTGCTATTATATAGATGTTATTAGTGTTTTCCAATTGTTTCCATGTTATTTCAGTTGTCCTCTCATGCGCTAAGAGCGCTCTTCACTTCGGTGTTCTTCTACCGATTCGATGCATCTGCCTCTCCTCTCCATTCGATCCGATTGCGGGCGAAGTCTCGGCATCCAGGCTATCACCTCTGAGCGGCGGATCGTCGAACAGGCTGGCAACGGGCGTCATCGCTCGTTGCGCGGAGCTAGAGCGTCGAACAAAGCGACACAACGAAGCGAAGGAATGCAGGAGGGCAAGTCGAACAAACGCTGAAAACGACCGTTTTTTGGTACACCAATGCCATGCCATGCAAGAATGGAATGCCAGGCGCGGTCCGGAGGTTGCAGCGACGCAACCAAACCCCAAAATCGCCAAACACAGCGTCCGTCCCAAACCTTCATTGCAGCACCCATGGGGCATCTTTACCATATGCACTGCTTTAACCACCCCAAACTCTGGAAGGGCCATATCCCCCGATGACCTCCACTGTCGGGTGATTCTGATGCGACCACGGCGCTCCCTCCACAAGCCACGAAGCGCGCTTGGTGCACCGGGCGCCCAGGGCCTAAATCACAAAGCTCCTCATGAGCTGAAGCGTCGTAGACCTCACCGGTCCGTGGCTGACAGCTGAGAACTGGCCGGCTTTCCATGAGTTGTCTGTCAGAACCCAGCAGGGCTAATCACCAAACCAGCCTGAAAGTGGGTGGGAACGCGTCTAGCAAGTTGTACTTCTGGCCTTTCATCCAGCCAGGGAGCAGTCAAGGCCTTTGCTAAGTAGCCACGGCAAACCTGAGATGAGCAGGCAAGTCTGGCCTCTGTCAAGCCTCTGCATCTGTGCAGTAGAAGTCTCACGCCTACCATATACAATCTATAATCTATATCATTATCATACTGTACCATACTTTAGCCCACGCCCCGAACTGCCAACAAAGGAAAATCATTTGTTTCGGGTCGACTGTAGCTGCAACTGAGGCTCCACAAAGGACTCCTGACTGCTGTTTCTCGAGGCGCGCGGCTTGCAACAAAGCACCTCCTGAAGACGTGCACTTTTCAGAGCGACATCTTGCTGTTCCGTGGTCCACAAATGCTTCAGGCAAGTTCAGGTTTTCAGTGTATCCCAGACACTACCTGTATGCCATATATGCCGCCCCATTAGGGTGGTGCCAGGGGGGCCAATGGGGCGGCAGTCCTATGGCAGTCCCATTAGTCGTGTCTGGGTATAATTCGTCCGGCCGTTTCTTGGTGTGGGGTCGAATGATCTCAACCTTACTTTTGGCTGAACAAGCATCACAGAACGGGATGCCTTGTGTATAATCATGCCTTGTGTTCTCTGAAAGGAGGCGAAGACCTTTGGAAAACACTCTCGCGGCGAGTCCGGAGCGTTCGGGCCGCGAACCGTTCGGGCCGCTCTTGCCGGCTTTGTTGCACCCCCTTCTGGTGGCCCGGTGAGTGCAACGGAAGGTGCTTCGACCTGCAACGGGTAGGTAGGACTGTGCCGAAGTCATCCGAAGTCATCAGTCTAACCCCGTGGTCATCTACGGGTGCGAGCACTGTGGTCCTGAAAATCGCGTGCAAGTCGAGCATAAAGCTCCCCTGAGTGCTCGCCTGAAGGCGAGGTCGAATCGTAGGCGGACGAAGTGTCTGCGTCTAGGCACTCGTGGCCAACTAGTCACTGCAAGTCTAGGCAACGCAGTTCTAAATTCGGCCAGTGACAAATCCCTATCATCCTGAAGTGGTATCGGTGAAGAACATTCAGGTGATCACATGCAAAAGGCGATGGTTGCCCAAAACGGTTCATCAACAGGGGTCTTGGCATGGCTGACCAATCGTCGCCGACCTGTTTTGATCCAGAGTCATGGAACCCAACACGTCTTGGAACCCAGCACACTGCCCCGTTTGGTCTCCCAGCAGTCGCATGTCGATGTTCAAAAAGAGAACGTGCGGCTAAGGGGGGAAGAGAGCATCATGCAAACAGTTGATGCACAAAGCCCCCCCTATACACCGGTGAAAAAAATCACGGAACGGAAAACTAGTTTCGGCATATTTAAACATGGAACTCGTTTCACCGCAACTCCTGGGGAATTGGCATTGCAACTTGTTTCGGTGGACAGGCAGGTTTGAGGCACCCTGCAAAGTTAACATAGAATATGTTTTATGCCCGTGCTACTCCCTCAGATGGCCTTGGGAACATCCTTGTTTGAGGATCGCAAATCTAACATGAAACGGGGGGGGCACCCAGAATTCTAGGGTCAAATGGTCCACGTTAAATTTGGCCCTGACTGATACCAGGTCCACACAAGGTTATCAACCGGAGGTTTACTGCTTTGCGCAAATTTAACATGGAACGTGCAAAAATGCACTTATGCACCCTGGCACTAACATGGAACTGAATCGGAAAATCTCATTTTTTCATCGAGATGTTTTTTTTCCCCGGAGTATACCAGATTGATTTTATTAATGCTTTACAATGCTTTACATCTCCAGGCCGGCCTCGGGGTTTATGAATCAACATGAATCAACTGTCTACTAGCTACGGGGAAGATCGGGAAGTGAGGAGAGATCCTCTGGCCCCCAGGGCAAGATATCGTCACGGTCGCTGACAGTCGCTTGAGAGGATGATGATGTATTGCCCCTCATGTTTCGCCCCAGTTCAGTAGGGAATACAAGCCAGTCCGGGAGGTCTTCGAATTCGGCAAGTTGCACCCGACTAAATGGCCAAGTTCATGAGCTTCAATAACTTCTGTGGCGAGCCATTGCATGCCACAATGAAGCAAAGCCAAGAAATCTTCTCTTGTGACTCTTGTGCACATATCTATGTAGGCGTATCCAAGTTTCAACATCCTAACACCAACCATCTCTCGTTGCTGTGGCATGGTTGCACCTCTCAGGAAGTACAGTAGTCAGTAGCTGAAGCTCATCTAAGCCATCACACTGACTCCAGCAAGCTGCAAAGCCAGTGGCTCATCAAGGTATAATGATGGTCACAGCACTTCTCACGTCCTGATACAATGCCACATATAATTATTGGGGCCACTAAGCCCACTAAGTCACAATGCGTTTTGTTTTCGCCAATCATTGAAGATCAGAAACAGACCAGCCACGCCACTGGACAGCTGGTGTTCTGATTGAAAATGCGTTGGAGACACCCCACCATCCGCCACAGTCTCCACAGTAGCAGACACACTCACTTTGTTTGTGGGGTCCCCTGGATAGGTCCCCTGACGCCCGTCTCCTTTTTCAGGATGTGGAGACGTCGAAAGCAAACATCGCAAAGAACAACGTCTCCCGTCACGTCTCCTTCAGTGCCACAACATGAACGGCGATTCAATGTTTGGAATCACTCGCCGTCTCATTTATCCGGCCATGAGGACATGCATCCGCAGGGGCTCAATGACACTCAATGGTAAGAAATGACCTCAGCAAATTGGAGGGATGTCCTTCAACCTATTCGTAGCAATTTGATGCAATGTGCCCTTGCTCCAAAAAACCGCCAACACTGCCAGCAGCGTAGCAGCCAGCAGCGTAGCAGCGTGCGCTGTTAACCTACCCCCGACGATCGATCCAGCGAGGACCGAAAACAGGTGAGTCGTTTCCTACACCGTGGGGTGAGTGGAACCAAGTCCACCGACTTCAGCCCACACTGAAATCGCGGATGGTTGAAGACTCACATCAGTCCACGACGCGCGGATGATGGCAGGATGGCAAGCTCTGCTCGCTTTGTACACCAATGATCTGGGTTTGGTATGGTTTCTTGGGTTTGGATCGAGAGCAGGAACAGGTGAGATGTTACTCTGTTAGTCTGGATGAAGTGAGGTTTTAGTGGCACCATTTCTTGATGCACTGGAGGTTTTTCGTGTAAACACAGTTGACCACCTCATCCTCCTTATCCTCCTTCGCTGCGAATTCGGCGGCTCAGGTCGCATTGCCTTTAAGGCCATCCAGGCAACCAGTGCCAATCCAGCTTCTTAGGGTCTGGATTTAACCTGGGCGAGAGTCCAACGCGGGGGTCCAAAGGACAGGAGGACAGTCCGGAATGAAAGAAGTGAACACTGAAACGATCTGAAACGTGAAATCCGTGTGCTCTTCTCTTCGCCCTTCTGGTGTGGAAGAAGTAGCCCCCCAAGACATGCATCCCTTGCTGGCATCGGGATGTTCTAAACCTATCCTTACTTCGGGAAGGCCCGAGAAACTTGGATTGAATGAGGGCTTTAAAGGCTTTATTAAAGGGTCACCATCCCGGACGCTGGGCGAGTTCGCCGCATGGGAAGGATTGGAAAGGGCAGGCAGTTTGGCCAGTGAGATCAGGGCCTTTGGATGAATTCAGTCCATTTCGGTTCCACAGCTGGCCGGTCGTGGCAGCAACGGACTGTGCTTCCAGCATCCTGAATTGATTGCCGTAAGAGTTCAGCCAGTCGGCAAACTCACCTTCTTTCGATGGACATGCATGGACAGAAAAGCAAGCAAGTTAAACCGCTGTCGCCACCAATCTCCAGCTGCTTCAAAATCTGGAGCCTACAAGCTGTTTCAGCGAGGGCGCCAAGGACCAAAGGCCACGCTGACGTTCGGAATGGCAACGCTGCCACTCCAATGCCAAGAAGCCAAACCACTTTTCCACTGGGCAAGAGCGTGGTGTCAAGGACGATCTCACCCTTGCCCCACGCCACCTGACGCCCACGGGAGACCCCGCATGGCGCCCGCTGCGCTCGTTTCAGCGAGGGATTGTGGGACTGGGCGGGTGCTCCTGGCAGCCTTGAAGAAAACATGAATCAGTGACGCAAGCGATGCCCTTATTACTAGTGGCTTCTGGTTCCTAGTAGCAATGCCCGGAGCTACTAGGTAGCGATGCCGGAGGGAGCTACTAGTAGCGAACAAAGACCCCGCGTTCGCACGGAAAGGACTTGACATTGATCCAACATCCCAAACGCAGCCGCCGTTCGGGTCTGGGGCGCCTGTGGGTGCCCATTGTTCTCCAATGACCATCCACCCACCCTGGACGCGTCCGGTTGCCGTGCCCAAGCCTGATGGCCAGCGTCCTGGACGTGGAGGGTGCAAGAGCCTGTGCTTCGGTGGTGCAGGTGTTATGTTCCGCTTCCATGTTCACTCCAAGGGAAGCCATATGTTGGTTTTGCTGACTCCTCTTCCTCACTTGCCCCCAAAACCACTACCCCGCCCACAAATATATACATGTTCCGGGCAAGTCACGCCCTCTCTGCGGAGCGACCTTGGGGAGGCGAGGACGCTGCGCGTAACGACGTTCATCGCGGCTACTTCGAAGAGCTCAAGATCGTGAAGATCACTTGGAGGTGTTTGTCGCAACATCTCAGCAACATCTTAGGCAACATGAGAGAAGCAACACATGTCGCAACACATGCCGTGAAAAGCACACTTGTCCTGGTGGAAGGGGTATCTTGAACTTAAGGTGTTTTCAGGTGCTCCATCACCACCGGTCCCGGGCCAAAAATGAGACGATGAGGGCCCCAGTGTCACCTAATTACATAGAGTATTTAGAGCGGAATGGATGTCCAATATTTTCCAAGAGTTTTGCTCATCATGTCTCGAATCACGTCATCGGAGGTCACTTCATCGGGCAGCGCTGCATCCTGGTTCTCATGTCATCTCATATGTTCTCCCCTATGTTACTTCTCATTCCCTCGGTTTGACTGTTTGTCATGCGGTGAACGCCCGAAGCGGCTCACGGTCAAGGCGCTCCATCTGTCCACGTGGTGACCCTGAGCTTTCCGCCGCTCCAATACACTTTGTGCCACTGCCAGCGCCTCACAAAGCCATCAACCTCACGAACCCTGACTGCCCGCCTGCTCATTTCACAACAAAGATGTGATTTTGAGATCTCAATTTGAGATGTTCTTTAGAGGATGGACCTCATGCCAGGACGTTGATGACTTCAATCCATGGACAAAAACAGGAATCTGATGCAAACCAACTACAGTATGGTTTGCAATCATTTCGTTTTGTTCCAGTGGGCTCGGCATTGGCAAACTTTAGCAGCCTATAATGGAACAATAACAATAAATCTTTGAAATGTGTAGACTAGCGAAGGGTGCAAATTAGCAGGAAGACATCAACTTCAAAAACACGATGGGCAAAAGTACCAGACCCATGCAAGCATACAGTAACAATGGCTTGCGTTTTGACTTGTGGGGCTCTCTTCTGCAATCACGTTTGTAGTGAAAGCCTTTGCTCATTGAAAGTTCACCAACACGCCCTCAGTCTGCGAGCAAACAGCCAGCAAACGTGGCAGTGTCCAAAAGAAGCCCACCAGGACTACATGTGATGACGATGTCGCCATGACGATGTCGCCCGCATCACGTCTGTCCCTGAGATGTGTTTAGCACATCCAAGCCATCTCTGCATGGGGATCCCTGGAAAAAGGGTGCTGTCCGGACGAGACGTGCGCGGAAATGGTTCATGTATGTTCATGTCCGATTCCATCGAAATGATGGCATGCGATGTCGGCAAGTAACTGCAAACATTTGCCATGGTATGCTACGAGGTATGCTACGAGGGCTCGTGACGTCCCACGGCCTCCGATTGATGAGGAAGTTAGGGTGGTGTAATGGAGGCTCCAGCGAGCACTGCGGGACTTT